ATTAGCATACCTTCAACCGCCTGAATGCTAGTATTTGTGCTTTAAGAACATGAAGTTGCTGTTTGGTGAAGCCAACACGTGGCTGTGCCACTTGGGTTGCTGGCCCCCCTTGTGATTGTAAGTTACCACCAGAGCCTCCATCATTGGAAGGTCCTGCAGACCGTGGAGATCGATTTGAGTGCTTGAAGTACTGCATCTGAGATGACTCTGCTCCTCCTGATAAATTTTTACCTGGAAAAGATGGATCAATACCCTGGCTAACGTTTGCAGAGGATTGTGGTGGATGCATGGGAGGCATCCCATTTCCCATCAAAACAGGCTGCCTAGAAGATAATTGGTTCTCTCTGCCATGAGCTGCAAACTGCTGCATTACAGTATTGTTCCCACTGTTAACCATCCCAGCACTGGAACTCGAGGCAAAAGGACCAGAAGGAACTGTCTGTCTGGTTTTTGCAGAACCAGGTTGGCCGGAGACATCACTTGATGAATTGGCACGGGGAGAACTCTCACTTGGAACTGATGGAGAAGTGACCAGTGGCTTTGACACTGGCATGGGTGATGAATGAGCAACCACATTGCTTTCGTTTGGTTTTTGCTGGGCAGCCATCCTTGATTGCATAAGTGGAATGAGCTGTGCCATCAAGTTTGCATTTGCAGGTTGGGACAGATCAATATTGCGCTCCAGTGCCCAAGCTTGCAACTGTGCAGCCATCGCAAGTTGGTTATTCCCCACGTTCTGAATGGTTTGCTGGGCCTGTGGTGCCTGCATAGGCCTTCCAGGCATTAGTTGACCAATAGCTGTCGGCTGAGATGATGACTTGGGCTCATTTCTCTGATCAGAGGCTGACTGCAGTCCTTGCTCCATCTGCTTTTCACTTCGACCAAACTGTTCAGAGGAGCTCTTGGAGGATGATGCCTGAGCCTGATTAGCTGCCTGCATGGACATAAGTTCCTGCATTTTCATATTTCCCATCCGCATATCCTGCTCTTTACTAGATGAAGAACCCAACATTGCCATCTTAGCTTGCTGCTGTGCTGCAAGTGACTTTTGTTGAGCAGCTTGCAAAGCAAACTGATAATAAGCTTGGTGAACAGGATTGATCGTCTGTTGCTCACCCTGACTTCTGTTCTGGGCCTCTAGGGCAGAACCATGTTGTTGAGCTAAATCAAAAAATTTCCTGGACTGTTGATGCATTTGCATGGAGGTTGGGGATGAAGCAAAATTGCTACCTCCTATCACACCTGGAAGACCACCACCAGCTTGATATGATAAAATGGCTTCATTTCCTTCTGGTTTTCTACGAAGTTGCTGTTGCAATGACTGCACAAACAAGTATGAACATTTAAACATAACATGCAAACATACATAATGCATCATTCCTATTGTTACATTAATGAATCACTAATTAGAGTTCACAAACTATCACAAGAAAAACTCACCCTACAATCATTTGCATCATTTTTGTTTCAAAATATACCATCTTATTAAGGGATACCTAATTTCATAAGGAAGTGATGCAGGACAAGAGATATCATAGACTTTGAACATAGAATATGCATTAAAAATAAATAAATAAATAAAAGATAGAAAGAAAACAGAATGCAAGAAGAACCTCTATCCCAACAGCAAACAATGCTAAACAGATTACAAGGTTATAAAGGAACTCAAGTAAGAAGAGGACGAGGATTAGAATTGACACCTAGTCACACTTGATCAGCTAAGCTAAGAGTTAAATGTTATCGTCAATTGGGATTTCTTGTAATTAAATGCATCAATCCTTACAAAAACACACTAAGAATCTAACTTAGAAAAAAAAAAAACCAAATGCAAAATCCCAGATGCACCTGAAACTACATTTATTACAACAAAATCCCCCCCCCCCCTCCCTCCCCATAGAGTAAACACTTGAAAACTGCCAAACTTGACAAAAAGCATTCAGAACGCCTATCTACTACACACTTAACCCCAAAACCTCAATCAAGCTTTCAATTAAATAAACCCAGTTGCACCCATCAAAGAATAAACATCCCTTACCTGCCTAGACCCTATCTGCTGTTGTTGCTGCTGCTGCTGTACTGAATCAAATCCCAAGTGCGGCGTGGACACTGCCGAAGAGGACGAAGACGGCGACGCCGCCGAAGATGTGGATGCGGCCCGACCCGCCGGCCCCACCCCGGGGTTCCGGCTGGGCCCAGCTCCGCCTCCAACACCAGATTGCATAAAAAAAAAACCCGCAAAACTCAAATTTATTACAGCAAGAATTCAAAGCCACCCACCACCAACACCACACATTAAAAAAAAAAAAAAAATCAAATCCCTCCAACAAATTCAACAAAACCCCATTTTTTCCCTCCGATCCTCCAACGTTAAAAAAATCTATAAATAAGTAGCAAAAAAAGAACAGAAACACAAGCGAGTTTCCCACTCTAAGATTTGTAGTGTGTGGAGATTTTTCTCTCTCTAGAAAAAGCGAAAATTGCGGGACAGCGGAAAATGGAATTAGATCTTTGTGTTGTGAGGAGAAAGAAAAAGAAAAAAAAAAAAAAAAAAAATTGACAGACAGGAATTGGGGATTCCACTCACTCTTTGATTTTCGCTGGGTTTTGATTTTTGATTTTGTTGGGTCAAACCCTAGGTGGATTTTATATTTTTCTGGTAATTTTGGGGTTTTTTTTTGGGGGGGGTTATGTACGTTTAGTCTCCCCTCAGGTAGGTGTGGGTTTTCTTGGGGGAACTTTTATTTATTTATGGCGCTTTCTGTATTAGGTGGGGTTTCGTGGGCCTGGATCTCTGCGTATTTACGATGGAGTCCATACCCGGGAATATATCTGTTCGGACTTGGGATGGGATAGGACTGGGAGAGTAGATGTAGAACGGAACCGCGGTCTGAGACGTGCCCCGGAGGGAAAGAACCAATTGATAAGACGTTGATATGGGATTTACTGAATAAAAAAGTATACTGAAAATTTAAATTATATTAGATTATATTATTTGATTATTAGATAATATACTAGCTTTGTTAATGATTTATTAGTTTGATTGGAAAAAATTTTGTTGTTTTGAAGTATTATCTCGATTTTAAATTTTATAAATAATAAAAAAATGTTAAAATGTCCTTTTTTATAATCTAATGCAACTTGAGTTTATATTAATAAGATTCAATCTTACTTTTAATACGAATTCATGCAAAAACACAAAAGATAAGAATAGATGTTTTGAATTAGGGTTTTTTTACATTTAATAATTTATATTTTATAATATAATGCAATCTAGATGATAAAACAAGATTCTCATAAGAATATATATATTTTGATAAAAAAATAAAGGTTCATATGTGAAGTAGATTGGAACTATTATAGAAAATGTTGATCTTAAATTCGTTTAAGGAGATATTAGTTTGGAGATGTATAAAGTTTAATTTAATAATATTTTAATTGTAAATATTAAAAAATAAATATAAATTTATTGATACATAAATTTTATATACTACATTTATAAAATATTTTAACTATTTATCTATTTAATTTAAATAATCACAATTTAATTACATTTGTTAAAAATAATTATCTTTTTTTATCTAAAGTATCATGATAAATCTTAACAATTAAAAGTAAAGAGATAAATAATCATAATTTTATATAAACAAAATATGTAAGATTTTTTTTTAAAAAAAACAAAGATAATTATTTACAACAACTAAGGGAGTTGGAAAATGAGAAGCTGAGAGTTGAAATTCAAACTTCTCAATAGTGTTTCCACTTGGGGATAGAGTGAAATCACTCCATCCATGACATGTAAAACAATATATAAGATTTGTATAAATAAATTCCTTCTAAAAAATAATATATATATATATATATGAGAAAATTGGATCACAATCATTACTACTAATTTTTAGTTGGAATGAATTAATAAAACGATACCGTTTCAAAATTAACAGTATAAAATCCCAATTTTGCTCATCTTCGACTCAAAATATTCAATCCTAATTTTGCTCGTCTTCAACTTTCCCAGTTTCTACGTTCAGATTTTTTACATAACCATTTCCTTTGATTTGCCCTTATTCCCTTGTTTCAATTCATCCCTTTTTCTTCTTTGATTTGCCCCTATTTTTCTGCATTCAAAAGCCCTCTATTCTAAAACCCTTTCCTACAAATTCTCCTTTCATCCTCCCGACACCATAGCCACTTGACCAATTCACTGAAGGCCTAAAGATAATGTCGAAGAAATTCCAAGGGCAAATCAAAGTAAATGGTTCTGCAAAAAATTTGGAAAGTAGAAACAGGTAAAGTTGAAGATGAGCAAAATTAGGTTTAATATTTTGACTCCAAGATGAGCAAATTATACTATTAACTTGAAACGACGTTGTTTTATTAATTCATTTTGATTAAAAATTGGTAATAGTGGCTGAGATCTAGTTTTCTGTGTATATATATATATATTGAGAATACTATAATGCAATTTTGGAAAATAAAGAAGGGAGAAGGGCCAGGAGCCCTTGAACCAATGTTTTAAAAAATTAAATCGGACCAATAATTGGTCATCAATCTGATTTGGTTATGGATAAAAATCCATTTATCTGATTAAACCGATAAAAACCTATTTCAATCAATTAACTCAATATAGTCAATGAACCAACCAACCGACTGGTTCACAATCTGTGCCTTTGAATTCCTTTTCAATGATCAATGGAATTTCGAGATTAAAAAGAAATATACATCTTCTGGTCAAACCAAATAGCACAAACCATCCATACTAAAATTAAAGGATTTGCATATTTGCATTACATGCATTCAATTTTTCCCAATCTACTAATCAAATTCAAATATAAGACATTCATACCAAAATCAAAGAATTTGCAGACTTCAGCACAAGATAAAAACAGAATATGAGGCCATCAAGGCATGAAATTCCTTGGTTTAAATCCATGATCTCATCTCATTCACAAGACAAAGTTTTGCATTCAACAAATATGTTAGAAACAGAATTGTGTACGTTTAGTCTCTCCCCAGGTTGATGTGGATTTTTTTGGGGGAACTTTTAGTTATTATGGCTTTATTATTATTATTATTTTTTATTATTTTTATTATTATTTTTAACACAATTATTATTATTATTATTATTTATATGTAAAATGCTTTGGAGCTTTAGGTATTAGGTGGGGTTTCGTGGGCTACGGTTAGACATTTACGGGATTGGG